TTTGTTTTGCCACCACTCCCTACTGACACTGCAGTCAGCCCTGTTTCCAAAAACATTACCAGTACCTGTGCCGAGTCTTCCTACCCCAGAGACCATCTAATCTATTCTTACAGCAAAGAGGTGTCACTTGCTATGGGCTGTCCCTCACCATGTGACATAGGCAGCTGCACAGCTAAAATACTGACACAGAGTGCATGCTGACTGTCCAAAGTACTAGATTTGCTGTGACCTGTGTGTGCTGTTGGGGCACACAGGAGATCCCTCACTGTTGCCAGGAGCAGGAGGCATCCACGGCCACTGAGGAGCCATTTGTGCTGACTGCTCAGAGCCATAATATATGTATTAGCATAATATATTTTTGTGTATGTTTTCACAGATTTATAATACTGATAAATACAATTTCTCAAAAATTAGTCTAAATGGTGGAAGAATTCCTTATTACACACATCTATCTGAAATTAAGGCAGACTCCTCTTCCTCAGGTCTGTGGACCCTGTACCTCATCTCACATCTGAACTGAAAGCTTGTTTACATTCTTTGCTCGTTGTTGTTGTTTGTTTGTTTTTTTTTAAACCTTGAAAAGCTTTTGTGGAATAGCTTCGATCCAAAAGAGCCGGAGCCAAAAGCTTCCAGTTGATGTTTGAGAGTGGATATGTGTCACAGGACAGGCCCACCCATCGCCCTTCACTTGACATACATGCTGAGCTGTGATCAAAGAGTTTCGTTTCACTTTGTTTTATCTCAAGGCAGCTCTGTCAGTCCTTGCGCACAGCTAGGTATTTCATGACACAGCAAAACCTTCTTCCAGGGTATGTTGTATTTGCAATGGTAAACCTTCCTGCCTTACTTTACATATGTATCACGACTAGTGACCCCTTTGTCAATACACCCAACAATCCTGAACTCAAAGTCAAAACTGATAAGATATGAAAAATAGCAACACAGGGCTAAAAAGTGTTTCCATTTAGGATTCATTGAACAATCTTTTTTGTTATTCCCTTCCACATGTAGAATTTCTAATGTATTTGTTAGAAACCTGAAACTTCTTAGAAACACCTATAGACAAGCCTTCCAAGCTTGTAATCTGCAGAAGTTTGAAAACCTATCAGATGGTCCCATACCTGTCACAATTAAACTGGATCTCAAAATAGCTATCTATTACAGAAAAGTGTTTTCAAAGATTAACAGTGACAGACTGCACCTTTATTTGCAAGCCTGATTTTACGGCTTTTAAGAGCTTTTAAGCTCTCAACCAAGTTGAATGAGGAGTTGGTGCTTGTAGTTAAGAAACAACTCTTAAGTCTGACCTTGTAATTATATTTTAACTGCAATGCAAGGTAAAACTAGCATTACATATTATTTTCATTTACAGTATTAGCTAACTGAGGTCCCTGAATGTTTCTAGTATCTGTGCATCCCAAAAAAACTAGTAGAGAATAAACATTAGTTGGTAATGAGGTCCTGACTCAGACGTGTTGTGAAGAAAGAAGGTTGTAGTTAGGTACCTGAAGCAAGGGCTGTACACATTGGGCCCCGGTAGCCTCCATTTCCTGGATATTTTCAGGACTGCTGCTCTGTAAGTTCCACCCACAATGAACCTCTTTACTTGAAGTATTGTCTTAAGTAAAGTATTTGAGAGCCAGACAAAAAGTATTTGAGAGCTAGTCAGATATGCAGATCCAGCAAAACGCTAAGTGTATAAATGCCTTTCTGTGCTTCGCTTTCCTCATGGCTCTGGAATGGCCTTTGGGCTTGGGTTGAGACCCCTAAGATTTGGAGAATCCTCTTTCTATAGGCTTTGCTATCTGCCTCTCATCTTTTCTACTGTCTCTCTAAAATCACGAGTAAGACAGACAGCTCTTTATGAAACCTGTCAGTTGGAGTCTATTATATTGGCTGGCACTTCAAGAAATCTCAGCCTCTAGCTAACTGGGCAGACTGGTTTTTGCAGCTTGTTCAACTTCAAGCATCAAAGGGGATTCCACTTGAACTGGAGATCATCCATGCTTGATGACTTCCTACAACTGGAAAAAAACACACAAATATATATTAGATACTCCCTAATTTATCACAATTTTTAATTAGAAAATTAAATGGCTCAAGAAAAGGAATGAGGAGTAAGAGGGGCAGAGATTTTTAGGAAATTTGATTATGCAAAAATAGGAATATTTTTACTTCAGTCCATCTGCATCACACCAGTAGCGGCACATGTGATTGTCTCTAATTTAAAAGCATCTTTTTTAACATGGAAATATGTATTAAAATGCTCTTTTGAACTACAACCTTATTCAGTGTACGTGGAACATCTGTGGTAGTCCTAATCAATTAACTTAAATATGAGCAAATGAAAAGCTTGTTGTACTGAGTACTTGTAGTTATACGTTTTGGAGTGGGTTTTATTTGTGTGGGGTGTGTGTGTGAATTTTCTTAGAGACCAAAGCAACAATATAAAATAAAATCAATCACACGAAAAATGACACACATTTTTCAAAATAAAACCATACATTTGCTATTGTAAAAATATATTAATGTCAGAGATGAGCAATAAGCAATATTCAGATCTAAATCTATAGTTACATTTTGTTGTTGTTGTTGTTGCTTGGGCCCTGCCTCTAGCAAACAATAAGTACAGGAAGAAAAGTAACTGATGCTTACATACATTTCTAGTTAAAGGCTGGCAAGCCTTTTTGAAAAGGATAGAAACACTTGCAAACAACCATTCTCCCCAAACTAGGACTAAACCATTTAACCCTCCTCTCATTCTGTTCATTCCTTATTACTTTTCATTTATAGACACTGCCAGGTGCCAGCTGGGGCATAAGAAAGAAACAGTAAATTGCAGAAGATGGCTATTGGTGATGTTTCAAGTGTAACCAGAAGCTGAATCTATTGGGGAGGGGTAGGGGGGGAAACAAACCTCACAGAAAAGCAGAAGTTCTTCTGAGATCTTAACCCCAGATTTGCAGATTTAATGTATCTGGTTAGTTCAGATAATAATCAAAGCTATTTTTATAGATGTAGTGCATTGTTGCTGGAAATCTGGAAGCATTTTGCTGTACACCGGCTTCTCACACTTAAGTAGTTTATTTTTTTTCGTATCAGCAAGTAACACTATAACCTTTTGGTGTAAATTAGTAGTATGAGTTTTGAGCAAAAGTTAGATGTGCTTCTGAATGATATCAGTTGTTCTCATGTTTTGGTGGTTGGTTTGTTTGTTTAAAGTAAAATTGGGCAAATATTAGGCTCTAGGAATACTCTTTAAATATCAGATCCATAACCAAGCCTGTCAGAGCAGGGTATTCCATGTTGTTGTATTACAAGGCTGCTGAAAATGAAAATATCCTCAATTCCAGCTGATGTAATGAAAGGATCAGATTTTTTTTATTCTGTAAATAAATATTATTAAGACTAAAATTCAGCTTCATTACTTATTTCAAAATTCCCAAAACTTTGAAGTACTCAGTTATTTAACTGTTCTTTTTAAGCAAGTCTCATAAAGTGGGATTAATTGTCACTAACTACCACAATTGCTCCAAATTCAGTAGCAGAGGTAGGAAGGGCCCTTTCAGCATAAGTCCAATACTTGACCGCTACCTGATGCATTGAGTGGCTACATGTCTGCTCAGCCTGAACCACGGATTGCAGACAATCACATGTTAGTGCAGTTATTTCCTGATTTTGTTTAGCTAATGCTCATCTAATTCCAATTTCCTTTGAAAAAGTTATTGTAATTTTTAAGAGACATCTGTTATTACTAATGATGAAGCTGGAAGATAGTTTCTTTTTAGCAAAGCTCTATGTGTTACTGAGCTTTCTGAATAATAAGGTTTCAAGTTTAAAGTAAGCTTTAGAAAAGGGAAAGAATACTTTGATGTTTGTACTACTCTTCGTAAGCAAAGCTTCCAAGAGTCTTTTGGTAGCCTGATCATGCATTAAAGATGGGGTAGGCAATACTAAAATGTGAAATGACACGGACAATTTATGATGAAGGCAAAATTTTTAAGTCCTTTTTGAGAAAAATCATTGCTTTCCTGTGTTGGTTGTGATAAAATCTTCAACCCAGGCATAATAAAAGATACTTAGTTTAGGTGAACAGGAAGAACATACACTGTATGAAGAAACTAAAAATATATATGCATTCTGTAGAACTTTCTAGTATGACCAGACTTCCAACAGGCTTCACTATAAAAATCAGTCTTTTGCAGAAAGTTGTACCTGTGTTCCTGACATTGACTTGATTCCAGTGGTGTGTTTTTTTAAATGATAAGGAAGGTGCTACTCTAAATGATACTTGCTGAGTGAAAAGTGAGATATTCAACTTAAATTGCCTTGACTACAGGTAAAATTTTAATGAGGTCAGTGCAGCTGATGAATAAAAACAGTCTTTGATTCCAGGTATCAGACCACATAACTGGAGTCATGAGATCATGAGTTTTTACAGCTCAGAGTCATAGATAATCTAATGGTTTCTCAGATGACCTGGGCATGTATTTATTTTCCCCCTCCTATTATAACTGCAAACACTATGGGATGGAGAAACTGTTCAGTGACAAAATGACTTGCGTAAAGCCAAATACCAGTGGGCTGATCGATTTGATGTTTACTTGTTTACTTAATGGCTCCACTATTATAGCTGTGGAGTGTTCTGAAGTCAGTTCTGAACAAAATGTTAACATTAAAATATTCTAAACTATTAATTTAGGCAATGATGTTCTTTCCTGATGCACTTCCTCTTAAATTGATTGTTTAACTTGCACTTAATTGTTTTAAGGAGAAGTCTAACGCAAATCATTCCAAAGAGCTCTGTTAAAAACAGAGGGAAACTTCATACACAAATGATTTAGCAAATAAACTACTTATTGAACATATATTAAGCATTTTTGATGTGTGAAATATTAGTGGAAATGCATTTTCTGATTTATTTTTTTTTCTTTAACTTATATAAATGGATGTTCAACCATTTGGTAATTTTAATGCTGGTTTTGTTTAATATCTTACAGGAAGCTTCAGAAGATGGTGCATGACATGAAGAAAAATGAAAGTGGGATAATAAACAAGTTCAAAAAGTAAGTTTGAAATGTCAACCCTAGTTCTATCAATCTGGGGAAATTCAGATTGCTAGCACAGTGTATAGTACTTTAGTGATGGGATCGTGTTATTCTAAAGTTATGTACTTCAGCATATGTAAAGAGCTTCAGCCCAAACTGTGACATGCAGAATTGTCATCAGTATTAAAAGTATCACTAAGTAGTTGCAGAACTGGCCTCCAGTGGGAGGTTGTGTTTGTAGCCCTCAAAACCAGTATTTGGGCAAAATGCATTTTTCTTACATACTCTTTGGAAATGATCATTGCTTGTTTGGGTGTGTGCCTTTCTCCTTAGGCCACTGTTTAGGCTACCTCCTGCAATTAAGTTTCAGTTTGAGCTCCACTTTGAACTAACCGGTCAGACGTCATAGTTAGAATTCCCATTAAAATGCCAAGTCCTCCTGTGTTTCAGTCCCATAAAATAAAACCCATCACTACTTAACATCCTTATTCCAGTAAGAAGTGCTAAAACAGCATGCATATTGATGTCGCATACATATTGATATCACATGCATATGAGTATTCTAAAATATTCATGTGTATTTATACATAGAAATTTCAGTAATTCTCCATCCTTGTCAGATGAATACACTATTCACTGTTTGCAGTCAAACATCTATTTAAACCAATTAGCTATTTAGCACAGTTTTTCTTTTTCTTAATGCAATAGCTCATTTGCATTGAACTTCCATTTGGATCTGATTTTTCTCATTCAGATGCCTTTCTTTACATGGGTCATTGACTAGTACTTTTAAAAGTTAATCAGTACACAGTATCTGTAGTGTTTCCAGGATGACCATATTAAATTCTAGAAATACAGCTCTCGTACATAAAAGACACATAAAATGTTGCTTAATATTGTTCTTAAAGAATGAGCATGATGGTTCCATTCAAGGAAAAGAAAAAGCATAGTTTTAAGAAGAGCCAATTCTAGGTATATATGAAGGGTTCAGTAGGCTGATGGGAGAAGCAGTAGGGTTCTGCATGGTTTAGCTCTGTAAGAGCTTCAGAAAACTGGGCTGGCTAGAGCTATTTGGACTAGTGTTTGTGGGGGAGCTGCTATCCCTGTCAGAGGAGGGGGATACATTTCTAAGAACAGTAGTGACCACCTGGCTCTCCATTCTCCAGGTAGGAGGAATAACCTTAGGTTGCAACCCCTCCTTTGTGTCCTCTTTATCACAGCTGTGTTTCTGTCCACAAACCTTGAGCAGGCTCTGATGGTAACACCTGATACATCAGATTCTTGAGATCACTTTTTTTCCTTTACTCATCCTCTTTCACTCTAGCACTGCAATGTGCAGTAAATCAGTCAAATGGTGTATATACTTGTTATGAACACACAAGCACAAAAGCATATTTTCCTTTAAAATGACCTTCTTTTAACTTAGATCTTTAATTTAATCTAAGTGTGGTTTTGTTTCTAACATAGTGTGTTCAGAGATCCACCTGCAAAAAAACTCAGTTTTACCTGGGACCTGATGAGCTTCTAGGCTGTCAAGGCTTTTGATGGGTTTTTGGAAGGAAGGGGATGAGGAGGGTATTGGGTTTTTTGGTGATGCTTTTTTCATAAGGGATGGCTTCCTACTTCGCAGTAGTAGTTTAAGTGTACTTAATGTTAATAATGTTGCAGTGGGTTTGGCTTGAATGCCTCAGAGAGGAAAGCAGATGGCAGAAACAATAGAAGCATCTCAAGTTTATAATATGAGGCAACAAATTATCTCCTATAGTTGCCTGGATATGGGTTCTGCTGTTAATCATTATTACTCTGACTGTGTGACTTTCCCTGAGAGTAAGAGGGGAAGGATAGACAAGGGAAAAATAACGAGAACTAAATGTAGCTGAGGCGAGAAATGTCAGAGGTGCCATCATTAAATGTTAGATACAAGATAGCTGCTATAATGTTGCATTTCTTTGATTCTATCAAGATTTAAAAAAAAAAAATCCACAACAACAACCCGGCTTGTAAAAACTCTCTTAATGTGTAACTGTAGCACAAAGCTTGCGTTTCACCTCCTCCAGCTATGAGAATAGAAATTAAGATGTAAAAAATACATATAATAATCTTTCTGATACTTCTGTGGTTCACCTTAGTCATGTTAATCTCTTCTGCAATTAGGAAGATCAGAAACTTACTCTTTTTTTTTTTTAATTGAAGAAAAAAATTATTACACTTGCATGTGACTTCAGAACTCAAATCTTGAACTCGGTACATAATGAGACTTGCAATAAAATCATGAGTTGACAACAGTGATAAGGATATGTACAAGGGATGCCAAGCTCTGCAGTATTAGAACTGGCAGTAATCCTCTGAATGTGCCCTTTGAGAGCTTTTTGTTGAGTTTTAGTAGATGCTTTTTCTAAAAAAATGCAGTTATCCAATTGATCACTTCCTCCATTTCAGTTATAGGATTATTTTATTAAATGTCAAGATCTAAACATAACGGCAGCAGGAAAAAATGTACTAAAAATTGGCTTTATGTAGCATAGATTTGGAATTTGTCTATATGCTGGAATAAACATTGTTTTGGCTCAAATTCAAACCTATTATAAGTAGAAACAATTTTAGAGAAGTCAAAGAGTGTACTTGCTTATCCGAAGCTTGAAGTTGTCACACACACGTATACTGTAAGCCTCTGCTACTGAAACTGAAAGAACGATAAAATACTCGTGAAATACATTTGAATTATTACCAGTATTTAAGACACTTCTAAAATCTGGATTGGCTCTCGATGATGCAGAAAAGTAAGAGAAGTTCTTGCATCAAGTGTCTTAGAGATGTTCTCCAATCTAGTTCAACTGTGTGGTGCAGGTGGGGAGGGTTATGGCTACCATCCATCTGTGTGTCTCAAAGGTCTGCAGAAAGCAGTATGAATAGTGGTGATAACAGGAAAGAAAACTACAGATTGTTTCTTCATTGCTTAAAAGTTCCTATTGTTTATTCCTCATCCTGACTCAATCTTCTGACGGTAAAAATACTCCCCACTGTGAGCTACCATTTACTTGCTTGCCCTTAATCACACAAAACTGTTTACAATACTGGAGTCTCAGCTGCTGTGCAAATGACATGATGTCAAAGAGGATTGGGTACTTGGGTGTAGAAGAAATAGATATAGCCAAAGTGGTATAAACAGTGAGAGCTGGGGCCATTTTTTTGGCATTCACATCCTTGGTAATACAAAACAGGGAAGTAGAGAAAGAAATCATAGGTTTCACTTTGTGGGGTGGTTGCCTGTGCTTGAAAAACACTCTAAAGACATAGCACGCATCTGTAAATCATAAACTTTAAGCTTCTAGGCTTTGTTCAGTGGAATCCTAGCCCCACTGAAGTCGATGCTGAAAGTCATACTGCATATACAGCAAAGCCAGGATTTTACCCTAAAATTTTGGTATGTGCTCACCTGCCGTGTTGAATAAGAAACTGGACATTCAGGTTACTCACCTTGTTGCCATATTGCATCCTATCAAAACTGCCTTTGCAAGGCCATTGTAAATCATGCACTTGTTATTCATCTAACTATACACAGTCCAAATATCTCAGTTTCTTGAAATCACATTTGCCATGTGACCTGAAAAATGGCAAGAAGATGCATCTTCATCTCGTCTGCTTTGCCCAGCTTTTTAGTTGGGTAAGTTTTTCATCCAATTTTCTCTTGTCCATTTTCCAGTATTGTTTATTATTTAGGTGGTAACTTCAGGCAGAAAAAGTGGAGTTGTGTCACTAAATGTCTCATCAACCTGCATAGTTGCAACTAGAAGAATTCCACAATCAAACCCTTGACAGAGGGAAAAGCGGTATTTTATGGACTAAACAATGGGAGCAAGTACTAAAATCCAGTCATAACCACACTTGAGAAATTAGGGAAAAATATAATACCTAATTTTAACTGTATTCTGAAGAAGCACAAATTTAAATGTGTAGTTGAATAGAGTGTTTTCAGTGCCAGTATTTTTATTAATATGACAATTCTTAAAGTGAAGATAAATCATAGCTATATGCTGTTTTACTGCCACAGCACATTGTAAAGAAAATGTGTGAAAGAGCAGTAATAACACTTTAAAAAAAAAGTTTCACATTGACTTATTTTTGTACAATCACCAGATACTTCTAAAGCTATAACAGACTATTCCACTAGGTCAATGAGAACACATCTCAGGAAAAGTTTGTCTGTCAGCTGGATTGCACCTGTTAGGAATTCTGGTAAAGTTTTTGGGAAAGTTCAATTAATTTTTCTTCCAATCACAAGTTTGATGATCTAGTGCACTTAGAACTAACACATATAAAAAATATATATTATTTTAGTAAGCCATATTAAGCAAAAATGGTTCCTGAGAAGGGTTTGGACTCTGTACAGAGTTAACCAGAAAAAAATGATGGACTCTTGAAAACAAAGAGCTTTTAGGCATATCTTAAATGCTGGGGAAGTGAGCAGAAACACTAGTGAGGAAATGCATCTGTAGCAGAATTAAGTGCTACATGTAAAGGGCTAATACTGTGTATGTTTGGTTACTTTTCTGGATGAAGCCTATAAAAACAAGTGTTACTAGAGCATAAAATCCAGACCTTTGCTGAATTTTATTTAAAAGTTCTCCATATAGTGCAGGAAAACACAAATGTTATATTAACTTCAAGTATGTGATTAACACATACAATTCCTATGGGACTCCTTCCATGAGTGAAGTTAAGCATGTGCCTAGATGCTTTGGTGGCTCAACCTCAGCACGCTGCAGAGGGAAAATCTTAGAATATATTTCATTTGAAAATTAAATAGTTTATTCTTCTAGAAGTTATTGTGAATTTCTGCACACTGCATTCTGTTCTTGTGTGAGCAGCATCTAGAACCCACTACACAAAATGTCTCAAATACTACCTGGTTATTTGTTGAAGCTAAAATGTATATAGTAAGATGTGTGATGTTGCTTTTAAAATCCTGTAAAGATACTCTCAAAAATGTACTTGGATTTTATTGAGTCCTTTAGAACTGAAGTTTCTCAGGGATATTTCAAAATCTCTAGCAAATTATTTATTTTTTATTAACTCTTAGAAAAATACTACTCCAAATAAAGTAAATGGAAACTTGAATTATTTGTGTTCTATCACAGCTAACACAGAGAGACCTCACCACCTGTAACTTAAGTCCAGAGCAGAGTAGTACTAGAATATTTTACTTGTAAATTGCATTTGCTATAATTTTATATAACTTTGTTAAAAGATATGTCAGGAAATCATTCTGTCTTTCACTTAAATATGTATGCTTAGTTGGATGGTATTCTTTAACTCCTGTCTCTCTAACTTCAAGGAAACAGGACGGAGTCAGTTGTCACTCTGCAAGCATATACGTGGATAATTAAGTCAGAATCTAAAATAGTTAGGGAACTACTTCTTGGCATAAGGGTTATGTCTTTTGAGCTTGCATTGTGGTTTGCACATTGGGTAGAGTTCTAGCTCTCAATTGACTTCAGGAGAGCCTGGATTTTGGTTCTGACACTCAGAAAATCATACCAGTACAGTGAGAACTATTTTTTTAAAGTGGATTTGAATTTTAGAATGAATAACATTTGAAACAATTCTAGCAAATATACATGTGGCTGTGAACTGTTTTAGCTCTGTGACAGAAATGTTATTTCTTTTCTTCTATTGATATTCAGGTTCCAAAATGAACAAGTGGCCTTAATATGCAAAACTGGGAAAGATACTTGGGATCGGTATGCTATTTCAGAACTGCACAATGGCATGATAGGCTGCTTAGACACAGACTTCTGTTCTGTGCTTCACGTGCTTTCATTATAACATATTTACACTTTCTGTCGGGACCACTGCCAGGATTTACAGGGTCTGGGATAAAGTCTTGAAATCTTCTGCTTAGCAGCTTGGAAATGTATAATGTGGCTTAAGCCACATACCTTACACTTCAACCCAGACAGCCTCTTACTATTCCCTCAGTTCCACTGTTTTCCAAGTCTTCTCCATCTCTGAACAACTCACAGTAGACATGTTGCAAAGTACATCAGTAGATTTTTGGTCTACCCTCCCTAAGACCTGAGATCTGCCCTGGCAGTGGCCCTGGGTTTTTTTTTCTTTCTAACATGCCTGTGCTAACCTGGACAGAAGACAACAGCAGGGCTTTTTAATTTACTGTTTGTACATGAAGTTATATTCATGCAGCAGAAAGTTAAAGACTCAGAAGAGGCAGCTCTCCATCATTAGTGTTGTTAGTAATGAACAAAGCAGGTAAACACTCCAAAATTAAGGTACTTGGATTGTTTTTGGTTTTGATTTGGTTTTGGTTGTTTTAGCTTTAGCAATTCCTGCACCATTTATTCATTGATTCATGCATGTGCATTTTTTGTGACTGTCCGAATAACAGAATTCCATTAATTCAACTCAACAGTAGCCAAAGCATTTATCAAAACAGACAGGAAAAGTTTGTAAATGGGCCAGCACTCTGAGTTACATTGTTACCTGAACAATGACACCTAAGCAGCACACTCAGGACCTAAATACTGAGTATCAAATTACTGTGGTAAAGCAAAATTTGTAGACATTACTATTGCTCAGAGGTTACAAGAAAATATTTTGAGTTCTTTGTGGACAATTTTTTTAAGATTTTGCTTATTTTTGCAAAATCAATAACATCAGGAAATTCATCATTAGAACCTGAGTGAAGAATGAGTGAAGCCATCGATTCAGTGATCAAAGGTGCAGGCCCATAGTGAGGTCTCATCAGTGCTACAGGGAGACTGTCCAATAATGTTCAAAAGTCACCTTGAAGAGTAATTTAATGTAAATTGTATTAATGTTTTATATGGCTACAAAAAGCAAAATTTTTTTTCTCATAGGATGCATCAGTCTGGCCTTTAATGTCACACATGTACCATTTGTTTTGACTTTAAACACCAGTTTGTTTTTTTTACAGGGTAATGAAATAATTGATATATCAATTGGCTGTGTAATTCACTGTCTCATCTGGACAGCTGCAGTTTAACAAACAGGAGTATACATATATATACACACATGAACAGGAGTATACACATATGCAGGTTTACACAGTATATATATATACATGTATACTCCTGTTTGCTGAATATATATACACATACATACATGTATGTATAGCCACAAAAATCCTTTCAGTATTTCTACAAATTATCTTTTGATTCACCTGGTATTACAAATGTCATCATAACAGTATTTACCAAAAAAGGGACATAATACCATAAAACTATATTAAGTAGAAACAGAATCTGTCCCTGAGAGATCTAGTATTCTTTTAAGCATTAATCAGAAAAAGTGAATGCAAAATTATATTTATAAAAATAAAACTGGAGAGTGCTGTACCACTTTCTTATGCCATAGTCTTAGCAAAAAAGTCTCTGTGAGCCTGAACAGATTTTCATCTTCAGATAGACATTAGCATTTATCTCTAAACCCTGTGTTACCTGTTTCTGCATTGGAAGGTGAGTGGGCAAGGAAGCAAAATATGTTCTTAGCAAAAAAAAAATAAAATCTCACATTAGATTCTCATTTCTTATCTGTTTCTAGCTTTTCAAAGCATTCTCTTGCAGCTATTTGCTAAGCATCTGTGATGGTAATCTGTATTTCTTCACCTGCTGGTATCTTTTGTTATCAGCTTTTTTGTGTCTGGCTAATGCTCCATTCTAAGTGTTACTTATTGATCCTAAATTTAATAATTATTGTTTACAGGCTGAAAAAAAAAACTCCACCAAGTCTACCACAAAGGGATTATGCTTCAGGTAAGGCTGGATTAATGGAAATTCAAACTGCATGTCTGTGTATACTTGATACCTATATGCCTAACAGTACTTCAGCTATACATTTCCTCATAATTTGTTTTTAATGAGAGAACAATGTGCCATTACCAACAACTCTGAAGGCAGCTCACACCTCTGAAATGAGAGGTAAGCAAAACATGATAAGTTTTCCCAGTATGAAGAAAGAGTAGCAAGCAGCTACTCTCAAAATCAGTATCTACCAATGTGGGCTGCTCTAAAGATGGGGAGGAATTCACATCCAATCCATCCATCCTCTCTGCTAAAAATAGTGACATGAAAGTAATTAAGGAAAAAATTGAACAAATGGTTCATCACAGAAATTAGATTCTTAATACTATTTATGTGACAATGGCATAATGAATTATCTTAGAACTGTATTTGCTTATAGTACAGCACTGCCCACAAACCAGTTCATGCTCTTTTACAAGTTAACAGCTATCTCGTTAAGGAAATAACGATACAAAAATGTAAGTAAAGAGGGCAGAGTTTGGAAGTTATCAGATAAGTGTCCCATGTTTAACGTAAACACTTGTAATTAGCATGCTGTTTTGGAACTTTAAGCAAGAAACAGGAAACTTCAGCTCTGAAACAATTAATCAAACCCCAAGCAAGCAGGCATTTAATTTACTATTCAGTCTAAACCAGATGTGTTGCTCTGAACTGTTTAGGAAATTTTGCCAACTTTTTTTTTTTTTTTAAACAAATGTGATAGATTTTTTTTTTCTAATCTATGCTTAAGTTGAACATATATGTTCACTATTTTATCTCAAATAACTCTAATGTTTGGTTTAGAACATGCAGACAATGAAGAGGAACAATGGTCAGATGATTTTGTAAGTACATATTTTGAGGTACTAGGAGGTTACTGTAGTGACAAGTTCAGCATAAGCAATAATAATCAGTTTGTTTTTTAATCATCTATTTGTGATTGAACTTAATGCTAGTGAAATGTTATCTTATTTGTTACATGCAGTATTATTTATAAGTAGCACTGACTTTTAGCAAACTCAATTTTTTTTACATTCAGCTTAGCAGTACACTTGGAAGCACTGTCAGTGGTAGCCATGGGTGCTAACTTTTCAGAAAAGAAAGTGAATGGCATCAATTTGAGGGACTGTCAAACTGAGCAATAATTTCAGAAACCAGTAAGATGACCTATCAGGGACAGGGAAGGTGGGAGGGGTGAGGAAGGGAAAGCTACTTCCTCCTGAAAATTAAAAACTTCCGATAAGATTTTAGAGAACATTAGATTGAAGCAAGTCATGGTCCTCAGCTATGTAAAGTAAGTGCCATAGTGTACAGCCATCAGCCTGAAGGGACTAGTTTCCCTCTGGAGTTAGATCCCAAGTACCCTTTTAATTGGAAAGGGAGAGGAAGTGAAAGGATGCATCAAGAGTCACAGTTGAAACTAGGAAGGAACTGTGAAGGGAAACAAGCTGTTGGTCCATAATTTGAAGACTGAGCTCTTGGGGTGAAAAGACTCCTTGGAGATAGCAAGGAGACAGGGAGCAGAAGCCCCTGGGAGGAGCAGAAGGGGAAGCAGGCAGGAGTGTCCGTTTGTTTGGAGAGGAAGCACTAAAAGTGAGTGTAACATGTCCTTTCAAGGATACATTCTTGTAATTCAGTTAATTGTATTCCTGCAAGGATGCATATGCCATACATTGCTATGAAGCCGTAAGTATGTTATGAGAAATGGGAACTTCTTTCTTTCTAGGACAGTGATTATGAAAATCCAGATGACCACTCTGACTCCGAGATGTATGTGGTCCCCAGTGAAGAGAATCCTGACGACAGTTATGAGCCACCTCCAAGTGAGCAGGACAAAAAGAAGATTCCTTCTGCATTCCCTGTTTCTAGGGGTGAATATGCAGGTAGTTATGAAATAGTTGAATATGTCAGCCTGATAATTGCTTATTTATCAGTACTAAAAGAGAAGTGGCCTAAAATGGACTAATCTGTCCTTTTCTCAAGAATTTGCTTTTAATTCTAACAGTCAGATCTTCAGCTTTCAGGGGTATGATTTGGTATTGTAGCATGAAACAGGTTAGTATTGCTGGTAGTGATATTCAGGATTTTAATATAGTGTGTCCTAGAGACTATGATAGACATCTCCTAACTACAGAATTCAAGCAGAGGTATAGGACATATCACTAACTTTACTCAAGATTCATCTGAATATTTTAATGCAGGAATTCATATTGAAGATTAAGCAAATAAGACTAGAAAGGTCTCTCTTTAATCTTTTCTGTATCTCAAATCATTATTCCAAAAGCAGTAAAACAGAGGCTAAAACAGTCCAAATATTCACTCCATATTGCCTTTCAAGATTGGTCCTGAGGAGGATAAATACCCTGAAAGACAGAACAGGATCAATTTTATTTACATCAGTCCAGCATAAAGGCTTTTTTCTTCCTGTTTGGATTCTTTTCAACCATGGGCAGATTGCACTGAAGTGAATGAAAGTTAGCTTTAGTTAGATGGGGATTTGAGCCATGGGGAAAAGAAATACTGGCATGATGCCTGCTTTAATTTTTGTATGATACAAGACTGTTACTGGTTACAGAATAATCATCAAAGTGCTAAAATGCCACATATGTACTCATAGAAGTTTATCAGCACTTCACCTAAGTGTATTTGAAAAGGGGAGGAATTTTTAAAATGAGACCCCAGAGGACCTGGCATAATTTGTGTTCTAACATATCCTTTGTGCTGTGGAACAGTTGTTTTCCTTGTATGTCAGATATATTCTTTCTCACTTCTTATCACCAAAGTTCATACTGGCATAGGACATAACAACTAACAGACTACATCACCCAGTCACCACATTTACCTCAAGAAATTAAACAGTTGTTCATACAACACTCATGTCTAAGCACCCTCAGCAGCCTGATACAGAGGACTAGGTTGCTACCTTGAAATAGGACCAGTTAGCACACAAGTCTCAACATCAGGACCAGTATACACTCGGGTTTGCCTGATTTGTTTGCACAGGTAGTAGAAGGAAATCCAGAGGCCAAAGTGTAATTTTTACTAAAATTGTTGTTTTCTTCCATATTAAAAGACAATCGCACCAGTCACCAGCAGCTTTCTCCCAGCAATAAACCTCTTCCAAGTACTCCCAGTCCAGCCACATCCAGACCAAAGAAACCATCCCTGCCATTGCCATCTGCTGCAAAACCAAAATTACCACCAAAGCCAAAGGAACATAATGATGATGAGGTAATGTTTATAGAAATACTTGTTTTGACAGTTTAAATGACTGATGATCCCACTCCAGTCATAAGATAGACTACACAGCAATGCCATGGCCTGATCTCCTTATTAGCTTCTAAGGATACAAATCATATTGTACATTAGAAGCAGTAACCTGCAAGTACCATGTTGATTTCTAGGGGAATCATCATGGAGACTCTTTAGGCCATAGAATAGTTTCTGCCCATTTGTAATAA